TTTTACTAATTAGTTTTCTTTTCTTTAGGTCTTTCGACGATTTTCTGGTGAAATTTCTTGTGGTCTTTCTGGTAATTTAATTGTGTTATTGGGTTTTTTCTGTTCTTCCAGAATTACTAATTAATTTTCTTTATCTTCACATCTTTCGGTGATTTTTTTGTGAAATTTCTTGTGATCTCTCTGGTCTTTTAGCTTTCTGGTAATTTTAATTGTGTTGTTGAGTTTTTTCTGTTTTTTCGGATTTTACTAATTAATTTTCTTTGTCTTCAGGTCTTTTGTCGATTTCTGGTGAAATTTCTTGTAGTCTTCTCTGGTCTTCTAGCTTTTTGGTAATGTTGGGGTTTTTTTCTGTTCTTCCGGATTTTACTAATTAATTTTCTGTCTTTAGGTCTTTCAGTAATTTTCTGGTGAAATTTCTTGTGGTCTCTTCTGGACTTCTGGCTTTCTGGTAATCTTAATTGTGTTGTTTAGTTTTTTTTCTGTTCTTTTGAATTTTACTAATTAATTTTTTGTCTTCAGGTCTTTTAGTGATTTTCTGGTGAAATTTCTTGTGATCTCCTCCGATATTCCGACTTTTTGGTAATTTTTATTGTTGAGATTTTTTCTGTTCTTCTGGATTTTACTAATTAGTTTTCTTTTCTTTAGGTCTTTTGATGATTCTGGTGAAATTTCTTGTGGTCTTCCTAGTCTTCTGGCTTTTCCGGTAATTGTAATTGTGTTGCTGAGTCTTGTTTCTGTTTTTCTGGGCTTTACTAATTAAATTTTCGTTGTTTTCAGGTCTTTCGACGATTTTTTGTGAGATTTTTTGTAGTCTCTCCTGATCTTCCAGCTTTTCTGGTAATTTTTTTTCGACGATTTTTGGTAAAATTTCTTGTGGTCTCCTGGTCTTTCAGTTTTTCTAGTAATTTTGTATTATTGGGGTTTTTTTTGTTCTTTCAGATTTTACTAATTAATTTGTATTTCAATGATTTTCTGATAAAATTTCTTGTAGTCTTCCTGGCCTTCTGATTTTTCTGGTCTTTCAGCATTTTACTGATATGCTCTTCAAGTTTTCTTGAATTTGGATTGTTTTTGGGTC